TATGCTAATGGGACAGTCGATTTCAGCTGCAAGCCAAAGGACCTCGTAGTAACGTCATGAAGTCACAGCAACGGCCTTTCCCATCAAACTCATTTGGCACAGCACAAGTACTCTAATGGGACAGACGATTTCAGCTGCAAGCCAAAGGACCTCGTAGTAATGTCATGAAGTCACAGCAACGGCCTTTCCCATCAAACTCATTTCGTACAGCACAAGTACTCTAACGGGGCAAAAGATTTTGGCTGCACGCCAAAGGACCTCGTAGTAACATCATGAAGTCGCAGCAACGGCCTTTCCCATCAAACTCATTGGGAAAAGTTATAAAACCTCCCCACGATGAAACCTTTGTATTCATTTTCCCCCCAACGGGGCAAAGAGTGTCGCAGGCCCCAAAATGACTTTTCGACATTTTCATGTCATTTTTGCACCCTGTAAAACACTTCCCTGCCATTTTTGCACAGCGGGCGTTACCGGACCAGCCAGGGTGCAAAAATGACACAAAAACGTCGAAAAGTCATTTTGGGGCCTGCGACACTTTTTGCCCCCAATACAAAGGTTTCATCGCGGGGAGGTTTTATAACTTTTCCCACAACTCATTTAGTACAGCATGAGTACTCTAACGGGGCTAAAGATTTTGGCTGCACGCCAAAGGACCTTCAGTGACGTCATGAAGTCACAGCAACGGCCTTTCCCATCAAACTCGTTCAGTATACCACAAGTACTCTACGGGACAAAAGATTTTGGCTGCACGCCAAGGGACCTTGTCCTAACGTCCGCAATGACCAACCCTAATTCCAAGCCTTAAGGGAAAGAGTAAAGCTCAGATCAGGGTTTCATTGTCGAAGAAAGCTTGCCATACGAAATGAGGTGGCCAGAAGAATAGTCCTGATGGTGGAAAGCAATGGGGAACTTGATTGGGGAATAGAGTACTGGCAAGTCGGTATCAAGACCAAGTCAAGAGGTGTCGACCTCGATGACATCACGACGAGAGCAACCATGGGAGAGAAGTAACAGCACTGGAGCCACGGCAGTACCCTCGAATTAGGGTCTCAATGAGGAAGGAAGGGTAGTGTTTGAAGTGGGGAGGTGAGAAGAAGAATGGTGATGGCGACGTCAATTGAGCAGTGTAACAGTGGCAAGTTCAAAGACCAAGCGCAGAGAAATGTTGACCAAGATGACTTCAGGAACAGAGCACGCATAGGAGAGGCGCCGCATCAAGAAGGGAGATCGGGTCATGGCTGGAATGTCTTCTAGTACTCCTGGCTACCGCCAAGAGGCCATAAGCCGGCACTTGTCATGATCCAATTTGTAGAAAAGAACTGCCACGATAGGGACTGCACAGCTTACATACAGAAAGGAGAAGATAGGGATGGCTGGAAAGGTAGGTGAGGGGAAACCAGCTTACAAGTGACATCATGCGGACTACCCACATGCCTCAATGAACTGCGTTGTCTTCTCTTCTGCACGCTGTGAATCTGGATGATTAGATAAGTCTCGTTTTTGGTTGAGATTTGAGCTCGGTCAGCATCGTTGTTGCTTTTCCTTTTCGCTTTGTACTCCTGCTACAAAGTTGGTCTTATCTGCGAGAGCTAAGGGACACTGTCAGAGGGGACCAACCCTCCCCCATGGACGAACAAGATATATGCTTGGACCTGGCTATCCTGTTTCTTTTGAGTCAGTCTTTCAACGAATGTGAGACTTGGGTGGAGTTGAGCCTAGGGCCAACCTCTTGCTGAGGGTAGCTATGGAGCCAGCATAGCAGAACCTCTACTGATGCTGACTGGGCGACTTGCCAGATTCTAAGGACAGCTTTCACTGACAAACGCCATGGACTCTTTTCAGAGTCTGATCGACAAAGTCCTCTGGGTATTGCTTGAAGTCCATGATAGTCTACCTTGATGATATCCTGATCTTTCAGAAACGAATGGAGGAACATGAACAGTATTTTGAAACGGTATTCACCAGTTCGAAGTAGCTGATGTAGGACCCAGGGTTCGATCCCTAGTTCCCCAACTTACCTGTGTACAATATCTGTGACA